AAAAAAAACTCATTCAATTTGTTTTATTTAATTTTAATGTTTTTCTATTGGATGTTTTAATTTGGTGTTTATTTGCTTTTGGCCAGTTCTCCCTTGAAAACGAGGTTTTTAATATCAACGGGACTTCCTGTTTAAATAAAAGTTAAATAAAAAATAAAAAGGTTTTTACTCAGTGTGGAAAAGAAAGGAAATGGGTGGGAAGTTACTTTGACTTTTCTTTTGAAAACTAAAGATAATTCTTTCCTGATGTAAAATGTTTTACACTAATTTACTGCATATGAAAGAACATTAAATAACCTACAATGTCTATTTGCTTAATTCACACCCTTTCCGAACCCCTTCCTTCTTTTCCTGCACCTGGGTGCCCCCCTCCTCTTCTCACTGCTCTGGTGCAGCCCACCACCACACGCTCAAGCTGAAAAAGGCGAGAGGGAAGAAAACTCAACAGTAAAAAAGTCAAGAAAGAGAAGAAGACGTGACAGCAGAGGGAAAACAACACTGAGGTACGGTAAAAAAAAAGGTAAAGAAATATTTTCTGTTGCAGGCAGAAAGTTAGTTTACTGTGATGAAATCTAACCTCAGAGGAACATCCACCTTATATTTCTCAGGAAGTTGTGCAAAATACATAAATAAATCAGCACGTGTAGATCTATCTTCATTATGTTATTTTTATTTTCTCTACTTGAGGTCCTCTCACACTATAACGTTTTACAGTACAATTTATTTTTATTCCTATTTCAGCTGATGCAAAAAAGGCTATATTTAACAAAAAAAAGTATGTATAAAAATGATTAAACAAATGACATGCCAAAAATGCTATATTTTACAAAAAAAAGAATATTCAATTAAATAAATGCACGTTTGTAACATTGCATTATGTAATAAAGCAAAAATGTAATAAAGCTGCACTAAAACCGCATTACAAAAAGTAATTTATCCCACTTGCGATATCCACTTTGAATCATTTTAAATAAGAACTGTAATGTAAATGATTAACGGTTGCTTTTAACAGTAACTTTTATGTGTTTTAGTGWGTTTTTATGCCGTTGTTGGAGCTCTGTCAAAAAAATTTTCTGTCACCACTTGGGACAGAAAATAAAGCTATTCTATTCTATTCTATTCATGAAATAATTGATACAAAATGTAATAAAAGTCTTCAAAGTATTTTGTGATAACATTACAATTTGCGGAGATTGTTACACAATGCGGTGGTTGCTCTGCGCTTTTTAGGAATGATTATGTAACCTAATTATGTGGTGCATTATGTGATAAATGATCATAAATCAGTGCTTTGGTTCATCCTAATCAATACGAGTGGTGCAGTAATGATCATGTTGCAGATACTACACAATTAATTAYTGGAAACTTTTGGTCAATAAATGCTTAACTTTTCATCATTTAGTTGCCTATTCATGYCACATTCTTCTGTATTAACCAACATAGGAGTGCAATGGCTATGGTGCAGAAAAATCTGTCACCTGAGGCCCAGCGCGCACAATGAAATGCACACACAGACACACACAACGTCCTGCTTTTGACTGATTCAAATTATGAAAAGTAAAAATGAATTTAAAATAATCAACACAAAAACTTGCAACTGCCTCCTTGTACTGCGTGTGTGCATGGGCGTAATAGGCACGGGGTGGGACATGTCCCCCCCATTTCCAATATTTGCGCCCTCTGTTCCCCCCCCCCACCCCCCGCACCCACACACACACTTTTTTCGGCCGAAGCAAAAGAAAAAGACCTTTAAAAAATGTGTGTGTCTCCCCCTCACCACACACACACTTTTAAGATGGTGATTACACCCTTGTGTGTGTGTGTGTGTGTGGGGGGGGGGGGGGTCAATCAATCATAAGTAGCCTTCGCTGTTGTGTTAAAAAAATATTTAATTAAAATTAGGCAGAAAAAATAGATTTGATTTATGCGGAATGTCTTGTCAAAGAAACAAAAATGCAGCAAAACGGCTCCCTCTCTGCTGGCTAGCTGAGTCTACCTGACACCCCACCTACAKAAAACACCCAGGCAAATAGTGGTTTGTGGTTTGTTTGTGCAGGTTTTTGCAGTTGAAGCTCAACAAGCTCAACTTTCCCTCTGCTCGCTCACAGCTCCATCTCTGTGCTTGCAACCCAAGTTGTATGTAAATAAAGGTTAATGGTTATTTTCATCCAATCAAACCATGACTTGCAAATCAAAGTACTAAACCAAGACCCAGAAGCCACAAAATCTTAGATTGTGTATTTTAGGCAATGTCATAATACATCTCAGTAATCCAGGTTGCTGAAATTCTGTTGTATCAAAAGAGTGCTTAGTAGAATTTGAATATCTACAAATAATATCAAAAAAACAAATATTGCATCTTAATGTATTTTAGAAATATTGTCTAAAATACACAATGACAGTGACCACATTTTTATGCTACACTAAATATTCTTGGGCTACAAAATTTTAAAAATATATTATCTTTTGCTAATTTAATAAATCGAAGATTTTGTCGCTTCTGCCTCTTAGTTCAGTACTTTAATTATGATTTGCAAGACATACTTTGATTGGAGGAAAATAACCTGTCTGTGATTGGCTGCTGATGTGGTTCATTTACATACAACTTGGGTGAAGTACACTTCGCTGCAGCATGCAGAACGGGGCGGTGACGGACCTTTCCGTCAGTCCCATACCTCATATG